AACTAATTGGCGCTGATAAGGTGCGTTGCTACCGTCGTCTTTCTTCAAGGTTGTAGAGCTTTTCATACTTCCAAATAATGAAGATTTTGTGATTGGTGCTTCGGTGACGGGTGACGAGTAATTATATCAATTGATAAGAGTAGATAAGAGGTTATATCACATTTTTCCAAGTCTATACTGCTAAACTCCATTCGAAAAACTGTGGGTGATAGGCCAGTAGCTACTCCTTACAGTTACCTGAGGTCAAGCCAAAGCAAGCGCTGGGCGATAGACGGCAGACTCCCCACACACTGCAACTGCCTTGCCGTAAACCGATTCAACAGTATCATCTCACCCCCAGCGCCCACGTAGAGGAAGTTATCAAAAGACTTTGGAGACCGTTCCAGTTCTATTAATCTCGGAGGCAATACTGTGACACGAATCATTCCGGATTGATTTCAATAGAGATCTATTCGTCTGCTAGTGAGACATCAAGAAGAAGAAAAGGCACAATAAAATAAAAAATCAAGGCTGCAACTGGGCCACGTTCACGTTGGTTCCTGGAGAGTAGGAGAAATAGAGAATAGGATTACTCGATGGAATATCATTCTCAGCCTTACTTCAATGTCCTTCATGAACACTAACTTTACGGACCTTTCTCTTTTTCGATCATCCACTCCTCACTGTTTGTTTGTCGCCTGCTGGAATTCATTTTTCGGGATCAACAGTTTTGGGAATAGCATTTCGTTCCCAGTGTTAGCGTCCCGACGCGACGCTGCGAGTGCAAACATCCCTATTTATCTTAGTGAGCTTATATAATGGGGGGGGGCTTATCTACGACCCTTCGGGATGATACGGTAAGCTAATTTCTCGACGTATTACTAATATGACAAAGCTGCGATTTCGAAGGCATCTGCTACTTTGAGTTCTGCTCATAAAATCACGACGTCTCCTTTACTCACCTTATTAACCTTATTGTTTGCGCACAGATTGGCGAGAATGTCGAGCGTGTAACGTATCACTTTCTGATTACGGTGACCGAATAATCGTAACAGTGCTCGTAAAAGATCGTATCGGTTGCAGTTCGTCGGTACATCACTGATATTTCTCAAGCACTCGAGAGACACCAGCACCAAACGTTCTGAGTCATGTGCTAATTGTGGAGCAAGCACAGCTGGTGCATTACATTGCACTAACGCCTGGGGGTTCTGAAAGGACAATTTTAATACACAGACTTGTGATCAATGCTTCAAGGTATATCAGTAAAGATTTCTTTGTCATTCTTTAGCAGTTACATAGGACAAGACTGTAACTGTTGAACGTCAGTTCGTCAGTGCATCGGAAGTACAATAAGCGAATGAAAGCTTTACGAGACTCACGCTTTCAGGTTTTGATCACCAGAAACTTCGTTGGACGTTGGGATTATTTCAGTCCTAATAGTTTGAGTAAGCTTGAAGGCATGGAGTATGTCACTTGAAAAGCTGCGCGGTGCATGGCAAAAAGTGCTCCGTCTAGGTGATTAAGCTCTACTAACCTCGATGCGCGGAAAGGCATAGAACAACGTGAAAGAGTGGAGAAGTGGGTATGTTCCCGTTCTACTACGTAGATTCCGACCTCCAACCCTTCAACTCCGTCTCGCGACACGGTGCAACATAGTTCTTGTGTTGGCTGCACATAGTACACGCAGATTCACGACACAGCATGTCTCACTTCTCTATAAGCTCCTCCCGAGCTGGAGAGAGTATAAGACAAGGTACTAAAACACATTTTCAAGTTGTTCATCCTTTGAAAAGTCTCAAGTGAGACCTCCCTCCTTTTGTAACGAAAAATGGTACAATGCCAGGAGTGCGGAAGGGTCCCCTCTATTTTCTTTGACGCGTTGCTGACGACTTCTTTTGCTGTTATCTCAACAGTTCTGACAATAAGCATATAGAACCTCACGTAATAAGCTTCATGTCCGTCATCGTGCATTCGTTGCCTGTGCCTTTGAGTGACACTCACAATGAGATCAGAGATTTAGAAACAACGCACATCATCGCCGTTAATCTTTATCGTATCGACGGGGGCATTATCAGTGGATGGAGGGTCATAAACGCGGGTGCAGCCAGCATGGAGCAGCGCAACTGGCGTCTTCATCGATAAGAGATGCGGAGCGGGTCCACGTTGTAGAAGACCCTGCGCAAAAAAAATTGAAAATGAAGCAAGCATTCTATCGACATTTCGGTTGAAATATTTGACAAAAAACCACAGTGCAAGCGAGGGGCAGTACCTACTCGAAAAGCGGAAAGATATACGTTTTTTCACTACCCCACCAACACATTGCGTCAATCGCGATTATAACGCGGCGCTAATGAAGAGTAGATCCTTCTCATACCAGGTTGGTGAGAAGATCTGTCACTCTTGTGACTTTTCTTTTATTTTCATTTTCTAACTCGACGTATAGTGAAATTATTCAGCAGTATACTTGTCATTGTTTGCCACTACAGTGCTCCTTCTAATGGGCAGGTAAGCATTCCATCACTTCCAGAACTGGGGAGGCTGCGGTTCGAGTAAGTCGGCGCCTCTCGACTGGTGTCATCAAACTTGCTGACAGTTTTCTTAGCAAAGCTCAAAGGATGCGGAGCAAGTAGCTGTCTAAGGGGCCCATTCCAGGAGAATATGGTTAGCGGGGTCTGGTCTCCCAGCCTTGCTCCTCAATTATTTGATACGTCTCCATAGCAGCATGGGGCTCCTCACGAACGAGGTGCTCCGAAGCTAGTCTTGGTCATTTTCTTCAACGAATTCCAGGAGTTTGTGGAGCTGAGCAGCAAAATGGTGGCGGTGACTGTGTGTTCTTACAGGGCAGCTCGCTGTGCAGCATTCCCCTCGCGTCCCAGAAGCAGCACAGGAGAACCTTCTCGGAATACATGCCCGGTTTGGACTGCTATGGGTCTTCTCCTTGAGAGAGACACACGGTACTGTGTGGGTTGAAATCATAGAGGACCCATCTCTCATCTCCACTAAGCAGTCTCCTAGAAACTCCTTTTGACGAGGGCGGAGAAGGGGAGACTGACCAAGGGGTACCCGGGTGCACAGCGTGCCATCGGTCAAGGTATGAGTGATCCATCGAGCCAGTACTTTTCGATAGCCAAGGGCTTACAGGCGGTTGACGACTGTCATTTAGGTACATCCGAGTTTTGTCCGTAGACTG